ATTATTATTATTATTATTATTATTATTATTATTATTATTACAGTCAGTTGGCGTGCGGCCATCCTGTAAGGCAGTGTTGCTCACCCCTGGTCTGGTCTGAGTTCCCATGACTTCATTCCAGATGGGCACCCAGTCTGCTGCCAACGGACGAAGACATTGCCTTTCTACTCAATACATGTCCCTTCTATGTTGGGCTCTGGCATTGTGGGGGAGTTTTCCCAGGAGGATGGGGCATCACACTTCCTCCTCATGAAATGAGCAATTCAGCCAGGCAAACTATAGCACCTGCTGAAAACCCATGTGATCGTTGGAAAACATGCCAACTAAACACAGAAGGCATCCACGCCTATAGTCAAACCCAGGAATGTAGGATTACGAATGCCATGGGACCGGTAGATATATCACAACTGCAACCTACTGACGCCTGGCCAGTACCTGGATGGGAGACTTCCTGGGAAAGCTGAGGTTACTGCTGGAAGAGGTGTTAATGGGCCCAGTAGGGGGCACTCACCCTGCCATCTGTGTGGATCCTAATGCCTCAGTATAGTGATGGGGACACACAAAACTGGGGTCCTGACTCTCTGTCCTCATTAAAAATCCCGGGGTTTATCAATCATGGCCTCCTAATAATCCCGATCTAGGAATTGGCTTCATCACTCTGCTCTCCTCCCCACTGAGAGCTGGTGTGTGGGGAGTGTACATGCTCACTCTGGCTGCTGTCACATCATCCAGGTAGGGCTGCACACTGGTGGTGGTGGAGGGGATCCCCATTACCTGTCCACAAAAGGGCTATATAAGCGTAACAATTATTCTTAAATATTCTGTTGGTTTGCACATAGGAGCTGCTGTCTCCCAGCTGGCACTCCAAACTGACATGCCAAGTGAGATATGACATGTACTGTACACATAGATACTGTAGAAATACCTTGCGTGTGGACTTACATCACAGACGTCCAGTTCTGACAGTGCGGGTGCTTTGATTTCCCAAACATTGCTTGTTCAAGATTTGTTTTATTTAGCCCCAGTCAACCAAAACAGAAAAAAACAAAAGCAAAGGGATTTAAGTTACAGTTTTCATCTGAAAGAATTCAGCCTTGACACACGGTGCATTTCCTCTAGGGAAGGAGTAGCTTAAATGAAACAATGGCGGTTATGGTGGGCAACCTGTGAAACAAACTCCCACAGTGTCTATCAAAGTTTCCATTCGCACCATCAGAGGTGCCACGCTATTTAATTTCAAATTTATTCATGAACCATATATATTTCTCTCACTTTAGATATAAAAAACGAGTGCTTTGCTAACTAAAGGCTATAGCCAGTTTGAAGGCAAAAATAGGTTTTTGTGAACCAGCTTTAAACCAGGCTGACCAAACAGTAAGTGCTGGTAGGATCTGTGTTATATAATCTCAGGAAACAGACGGATTAAAACAGATGAATTCCCAGAATAAAATTAATACTTTCTCTTTCAAATGATGTGACTTTGTTTTACTGTTTATGATAGCATTTACAGTAGGAAATCACAGTGTGAAATCTGCTTCACCCCTTTCTACTTTTTCATTCTGTCTGGTTTCAACAAGCAGGAGAAGAAGAAGTGTAAAATATTGCCAGTTTGTCTCAGGTGAAACGAAGTCTGAGGTCTGGTTTTTGTGCCCAGCTGCGGGTGAGTGATTTCGTGTCTTCTGTTACCATAGTGATGAGCAGCTGCTTCTCTCCGGACTTAGAAGCTAACCAACAAGCGCTACACGAATCAGCAGGTTTCCAATTCAGACTTGGCAACAGCAACGCAGTACAAATGGCATTCCAGTAAAGCTAATCAAAAGATCGGCTGTCAGATTGTGTCCTGTTTAAAAGCAGTTACCTCCCTTTGGCATTGTGTTCTCACTTCCTTACTGCAAACAGGCCTCTGTTAAGGATCGGCCTTTTAAACGGATGTATTGTTTATGACTTTCAAATGGTGATGCATGTGACTAACTAGACTATGACGTGACACTCTGTGCACAGGTACACTTAAAATTCAAAGCCGTTCCATATGTGACGTTCTGTGTTGTAACTCACTTTGACGCCTAACTACAGCTTAGACTGCAATGACGAAGATAACTTTAGACTCTTTCAAACAATTCAAGGTTGAACTCCTTCGCAGGCCTCAGAAGATGAGTCAACAAAAACTCAATTCAATCAAGGGTCTGTAGCATTAATCAAAACTGAGAATATGTGCTACATCTACATCTACAGTGCAGTTTAAGCCCCTGTTACAGTGGTAGCTGTTTATACATTTGGGGTGACTGGTGAGGCTGGGAAAGACTTGTCTGGAAAAGGACAGTAGTGTCTTCATTAAGAACTGGAGCCCATTATATTCTGGGCCCCAGGCCCTAGTCACTGTGTCAGTTTCAGGCAGTCCTCAAGAACAGCTCTCCATACTTACAGTTTCCCATTCTACAGACATACAGATGTACAGCTCTGAGGCTGGAGTTACCACACCAGACACAAAGACAGTGAGACTCTTAGGATGTCAATCAGGGTGTTTTTTTATTGAGTTGTTAGTGGTTAGGCGATTTGCAGTGATACAGTGCAGAAAGCAAGCTGTATTATCTGGATACATAAGATAGTGGTAAAATAAAATCTAATCTATGTGGTCAATGTAAACATAATTGTGTTTTTTTACTTTTGTCACAAAGAAGGGATACATTTCTTTCCTTTCTGAATCTGATCACCAGGATACAGTCATGTTTGCTGATATAAAAATATTCCTGCTGTCTCACAACCAACAGCATTCATAAAGTCATAAAGCAATTAGCAACCTCCATTAAAATAAGCAAAGCAGCCATTTTTTGATCGTGCCAAAGTGCCTTTTTTCAGAGGAGGCTGGAGTTGTACAAGTACATCTAGGTATCAGGTTCTATAGAGTCCTTTTCATCTGCTCTGTGACAGGCAGAGGTGGATACAGTAGTCAGATGTTCTATTGTGCTTTTCAACCAAATTGCAGGTGCCGGCAATAACACAGTAATAGAAGGAGCCAGTCTTGTTTTGCGATACTTTATGCTATCATGGACTATAACCACTGAAAGAGTAATTCAATCTCAAAAGCCCCTTCTCTTCCTATAGAGACTAGGCAGTGGTCAGAGCTGAACTTCAACCTCTCTGTAACAGCTACTATCTTGTTGCTGAGGTGCTTGGGGACTCTCAGGTGACAAGAAAAGGAGTTATGTCCAGTTCACTTGTAAGATGCAAACACCTGCTAGTGTACCTGTCCCCGTGATCTGCAATTTTATTTATATTGCAAAGAAAAACAGAATATTCCATGTAGAGAAATGTGATACGCCTGTTGGCACTTTCTTAAACCCTGCTTGGATGTGACTAAGATTTGAACATGAATAAAGAAAAAAGGCGTGCAAAATGGCTTTTAGACCGGAGGGCCTAACTTATCTCCAGCTGATTCAGAAAAGGTTCTGCATCTGCTCGCGTGACTCGCTGTATCTCGGCAGCCCTGCGGCTGTGCAAGTTCTGCAGCTCAGGGGCTGTAGCAGGTACAGTATCTGATTACTGGGAACGTGAAAAAAAAAAGACCTGAGAGAGCCCCAGTTTGTCAACAAAATGAATATATATAAAGTTTTTTTTTTCTTTTCGTAAGGAGGTGTCCACATAGTAAATGTTACAATGCTGCCTGTCTACACAGCAGTGCACGGCTATTAACATCCAACAAAGCAGCTACGCTAGCATTCAGCTTCAGATTTTATCAGCGCAATAAGCACACAGACATGTCAGCCTCTCCATCTGTCTCTGGGAGATATGCAGATCCTCCTCCTGGTGGTTCCCAAACTCCCAGCGATTTTTATTTCCTGGCACATCTTCACCTCGACTTTCCTCTCGCCTCCCGTCTGGATACACATTCGCCCCTCTCTCTCCCCTTCCTGCTCCTCCCCAGCCTCTCGCTGCTCCCTATCAGTCCTCAGAAGTGCTCTTCTTGATTAGATTGCGATCCGTTAAATAAGACCCACACTATCACTGAGCGGCAGGCTTCCCATCAGTGAGAAATAAAAAAAGGAAACCCGGCACTTCTCATAAACCTGTTAAATTTACAGCACAAGAAGTCCTTTTTCCTTAGTGCATTTAATGCATATGCAATATATTTCTTTCTAATCATCAATAAATCATCCTGACTTCCTTCTTGACAAAGACACAAGCCTTGAAATTGGAAACGTCTTTGGAAACTACATCACTTTATAAAAAGGCAGGAAGAGCTGTTGTACAACATATATATATACTGTATATATTCTAACCTATACAGTCAGTGGCCAAAATATTAGGAACATCCAGCCTAACATCTTGAGCCCATATTGACAGGTGATGTGTGTTGGGCTTGAGTAGCCCAAGGCAGACTTCCAGCCCAATCCCAGATCTCGATCCCAATGGGATCCCACGCATCCCTAAACACTAAATTGGCCAAAGGCCACCCTGGCCAAAAAATAAGAGTGATGGGTTTGTATTCCACATATTGAGCTCAGTCTAGAAGACAAAGAGTGGAGACCTTAAATGACAAACCTGATGGCAGTGAAGCATGAGCAATAGCATACTGTACATGTGGAAACTAGGTGGAAGCATGTTTATGACGGAGAACAGGACACACTTCTTTATGCAAAGGGTTGTGGGAGTGTGGAACGAGGTGCCCAAGATGCAGAAGCCGTAACCATCCCTCCATTCAAGAAATGGCTGGATGAGATCTTCAGATCGATCAGCACCTTGTCCATCAAATCATTTTGTTGACTTCATGCTCTTGTGTTTCCAAACCTTTCATTGTCATGTCCCACTCATGCTGTCCCTGCTGCTTACACTGCTGCGAATATACACTGTATACACACAAACATATATAGCCATAGGCTTTTATGTAGATGATTGTAGACTGTTCCCATAACAAAATGAACAGACCCATAGATGGTGCAAATCGCTCAATCATTACACTATGCTTCTGCACCCAGGTTGTGAACATCTTGTATGTATTCTGGCAAACATGATCTTTTGAACTGTTTTTGCTGACAGCCAAATACATCCCTGTCACTTTAAAAATGATCAGGGTTACACTTGAAACTCAATTGTTTTCACCTTTGTAGCCCCTTAAATGGAAACCAATTTGTCCTCATGGCCCGAGGACAATCAAAGATTCACAAGTCATCATTAAGCCTCACTTACTGATTATACAGTAAGTAGTCACTCTTATTTCCCAGCGCTCTGATTGGTGCAGCTTTAGAAAATCATATTTGATTTCAGGTAATTTCATTGTATTTTGCACAGATAAGAAAATGGCTTTGTAGAGTAACATGGTTTTTCTAGATGCTCTGCTTACTGTGAACAGCAGGGTAAAATAAAAGACATAACAAAAGGAAATATCATATGTCAAGGAGATTAGAGATTACCATGAATTGTTTTTTTTTAAAGACCATGACTCAAATATTGTCTCTGATTACACGGAAGTCTGCCGACTTTGAAAGACCACATATGCTATCTGTAATATTGTTAGAATTCGTAATCTCATGTGAGATTATGGCTAAATACAGTTTATAGATTTATATTTACAGTTTAGATATCAACACTGTGAGCATGCATACATACTGTATATTTACAGTGAAACAAGCAATTAAGTACAGGAGGCTTATAAAACTAGCTGGGTTATTCAAATGCTGTATTTTGAAAAATAAGCACCGTGGAGTGATGAAATTTGGTAAACATGATAAAGGGACCGTGTGGAACAGTTCTGAAGGACAATGAAAGTGTATGCTTACCACCATTTACAGACCTACACAAAGCTGTCCAGCGTCAACTATCAAGGTCCATCAGAGCATGTGCCCTATGGTCCTGGTCTATGTGTACCACATTTCATTGCTGTACGCAGCACTGCTCTTACAATATACCTTGATTACTATAACTTTAAAAGCATGCTGTGTATTTAAAAAAATCTGTTGCTTGTTTGAGGTTAAACAAAATAATGTGTAATAAGAAACCTAAAAAAGGAAGGCCTCTCTGAATGAAAAATGATGATGTCTGTCATCAATTCAGGACATTATACACTCTCATATTGCTAATGAAGGACAGTGGGTAGTAGTCTCTCAAAAAGGAGGGGGGTGTATTCTCTTTGAGAATGTTGGTCTGTCAGCCATGAAATCCTCAACACTGATGTTTTAAACCCACATTGCAGTTACACAGGATTCATCCAATTGCTCTCATAAAAAAATAGTATTTTCCCACAAAAAGAACTGTTTTACTTTTAGGGAACTGTATGGGCTGCTCTGTGGGAGCAATAACTAAATATCTAAGACCATCTGTCTACTGGTTGTTTAAAACCAAGGGAAAATGTGGAATTCTCTACTGCTTTTTTCTTCTTCTTCTTCTTAACCGACTGATATATATCTCCACATTCTAGGATTACAGAACTTTTCCAAATATGCCTGTCAAAGGGATTCATTCAGACATCAGCAGCTCACACAATTAGTGCTTCTGATGTCAGCCGCATTGACTGAACCAGCTTTGTAATACCCACAGGTATTATTTTCACTGTGTGACAGAACGCTTCAGTTTATCAATCTAATATTTCAAAGAACAACAGCACAAAATGGAAGAGTCCTGTCTCCTTGTGAACTCCAGCTCACCTCTGATGACGTTAGAAAATGTTTTACAGAATCTGGGATATGCTGAGGGGGCTTGCAGTACACTTTTGCCTTTATTATGATAATGTTGCTTATAAAAAAAGAAAAAACACAAAAAAGGCTTAAAAAAACAGGAAGCGTAGAGGGAAGAAGAAAAGATTACAGTCTGAACGTGTCCCCTGTGCTTCTGCGGTGCTAGGCTAGGAAAGGTGAGGTTAGGGGCTTTTGGGTTTAGAAAATTATTACAGCACTGATAACAAAACTGCGGCTAAAGACAATGATACCAAGGAGATCCCAGCCTGCCCCCGCCCGTTCTCCTGTGTTCCGAGAGCTCGCAGTCCCGTCCGCGCAGTTTGGAAGTCCGAGTCTTTCCAGGTCCTAGTCGCTGTCCTCCCGGATCCGGCTCCTCTCCACCAGGACCAGTTCCGTGTCTTCCGCGGCCTCCAGCAGCGTCTGCATCTCAGGGTTGTCTTCGCTCAGCAGCTCGCCGCCGTCCACCTCCTCCTCCTGGGACACCTCCATCAGCTCTGTGCCCTGCCTCTCCGCCTCGCCCTCGCGGATCTTCTTCACGTGGAAGGTGAAGGGGGGCACCTTGTAGACGGCGGTCTTGGAGCGGGCGTAGACCGTGTGGTCGGGGGTGAAGGACTTCTTGATCTTCTCCCGGGAGGACTTCATCTTCTCCTTGCGCTCGGTGTTGACGATGCGCGTCCCCAGCTTGTTCATCTTCTTCTCGATGTTGTGCCGGGTCTTCTCCAGGTTCTCCTTGGTCTTCTGCCGGGTCTTCTCCAGGTTGTCCCGTGTCTTCTGCCGGGTCTTCTCCATCTTCTCCTTGGAGAAGGCCTTCTTGAAGTCGTCCACGCGCCGCATGCTGCTGCGCTTGATGCGCTCCGCCCGGGACTCCTCGATGATCTCCTCGATCTCCACCTCCTCGTCCGAGGACAGCGCCAGCCCCCCCTCTCCGCCCCCCTGCTCCTCCGCCTGCGGCTCCGCCTCCTCGCCCTCCTCGGGCACTCGCTCCAGCTCCTTCAGCGACTTGGAGACGCTCACCTTGGACGGGACCTTCACTTCGTCCTGCGGAGAGAAGGCAGAGGGCAGGGGACAGCCCGAGATTAGCGCACCTTCCAGGCTAAGGCTGGACAACACTGGTGAACCACACACCTGCTGGTTTCTGTTCCAGCCGAGCCCTCAGAGACACAATCACACCCTTCCCTGACGTAACAGTTGTAAGATTTAAACTGTTCATTCCCCGCTCTTGAACATGGTAGACCTTCAACACAGGTATTATATGAGATAAAACCCCAAACACTGACTAGAATCCAAAATGCAAATATTCAATTGAAGCCACTGCTTAGATCCAGTGAGGCTTGAATTATCTAATGAAGGTGGGAATGAAAACCAGTTTTTCAAGTTTCCTCTTCAAGATGGAAGATGAACATATAGTCATGATACAGTCTATACTCTGATATAGTCAGAGACCTGACAGGGCTTTAACATAGGGATGAGCTTTTCCCCATCTTTATCTCCCTAGAACTGTTCCCACTGGCCCAGAAAGGAAGACATAATCCCTAACACACTGAGGGATGTATAGAAGCAGGAGTCAGGAACCAAATCGTCCAGCTTTCCTACATATTTGTTTGTGTTTTGCACCGCGACACACCTGTAAACCATAAAAGGAAACAGTAGAGTAGACTCGGAGTGTACTCGGTATGTTTTCAATACATTGTAAACAACAGCCGTGCACCAGTGTTAAAATGTCCCAGTCAAGGTTTTAATCGCCCTGAGGCGTCGACGATTTAAACACACACAGATTCCGAGCCGGAGAACCGCAGCTGAGTGTTAATCGAGGAATGAATGCTTCTTCACCGGTGCAGCTATGACGCAAGATGGCGCTGTAGTCCCACCTAACAGAAAATAAGCTCTAAACACGCTGAAGTGCGGAATTCTGATTTTTTTTTCATGGTGTTTTTAAGCGGGATCGCTCACCCTTTCAATGTATACGGGAACTGGATAAGAAATCGTGAACCAGATTAAACCGTAAACTTTAACAGTAAGTGCCTCCCAAGCAAAGTATTTCTGATCACATTGTGAAATACTGTATTGCGTAAGATTCATTCCTTTAAAAACTTATGCAACGTATTTTAAGTGCATAGAAGATGCTGGCAGCTATTATTTTGTACGATGGAAGGTAGATTTTATATTGTGGTTTTATTCTTCAGTGAATAAAATGCTTTATTCATCAGGTATTAGGCATTAGCAACGAAGTAATTTCTTCATGATGAAAATCAACCAAAAAGGAACTAATGCATCACATCCCATGGAATATTCATGTTGCTTGTCGAATTAAGCGGCAGAAACTGTAAACTTATATAGCACTTTTCTGTACACTCCACTCAAAGCGCTTTACAGGTAATGGGGATCCCCTCCACCACCACCAATGTGTACCCCCCACCTGGATGATGCGTTGGCATCCATAGTGCACCAGAACGCTCCCCACACACCAGCTCTCAGTGGGGAGGAGAGCAGAGTGATGAAGCCAGTTCAGAGATGGTGATTATTATGAGGCCATGATTAGTAAAGGCCAATGGAAAATTTGGCCAGGACGAGGAGAGGGACGTTTTTGAAGGAGAGATTCGTAAATTTTACAAAATCAGAAATAAACATTTTAAAAAATGAGGTATTCCCAAATTAGCTTCAAGAATGGTGTACATTCAATATACCTTTCCCACTAGGAATGCAGCAGGTGGTAATTTAGATTAGATTAGTTTTTCACGAAAACATCCCATAATACATGTATCATGTTCATGTATCATGAGACGAGGTCTCCCTCTAGTGGACTGGTGCCGTATAGCGCCTTCCCGAGGGAATTCGTTTTAAAGGAACTCGGTTTTAACATTCGAATACCTCACTTTTTTAATACTACTGACTCAAACATCTGATAGCAGAGCAATTGTTCTGAAGATGAGATGCAGGATGGCAGCCCCCTACATGAATCACAAAGTCTTCATTTATGATGCTTAACTCTCTGGATAACACACGTGCCTACAGATTGGAACACCATAAATGCAATATCCCTAACAAAGGTACAAAACAAAGCCAGGTTGTCCTGCCAAAAATCCTTATCTTAATTCTGTCTAAATGTATGGATTTTAATTCTAAGAATCAAAATAAGATTCAATAATATTGAAATGAGAACCAAGTTCTAAGAGATAGTCAGCAGGGATTTAATAGAGGTACTGTATATTGTGTTTCAATAACCTACTAGAGTTCACTGACCAAGCCTCTAATGGAGGACTTATGGGCATCAGACACTTTTATTTCATGTCATAGTCTATCGCATGTTATGGAAACAATTCTTAGAACACAATTAGAGGATCACCAAAGTAGAAATCAGAAACTAGGATATAGTCACCATGAATTTAGAAAAGCGAAGTCCTGCCTCACCACCTTCTTAGAGTTCTTTCAAGAAGCAGCAACAGTAATGGTCACATACAGAGCGTGTGATATGATGTATTTAGATTTTCAGAAATAATCTGATAAAGTTCTTCATAAAACATTTTTTTTTAAATTACAGTCCATCACAGCGCATGCACAAACAAAAAAGAAGCGCACTCTCACTCGCAAGCCAGGCCCAATTTTCCCAGAAGCCAATTAACCAACCAGTATGTCCCTGGACTGTGGGAGGAAACTGGAGCACCAGGAGGAAACTCCCGTGAACTTGGGAAGAACATACGAACTCCACACAGACAGCACCGAAGGTCCGGAATTGAACCCAGGGCTCAAGAGCTGAGAGGCAGAAATGCTGACTACTGTGCCACTGTGTGTCCCTCCTGTATGTACTGTAGACTGTGTGTAAAAGTATTCTAATGACAAGGCTGTTAGAAATATTAAAATAATTAACATGCACAAAAAGTTCTCTTTCACTCAGATCAAGTACACACAGAGAAAGAATGGTTAGGTGTGATGGTTTTCTGTACTGTCCAGATCAAACTCCACAGCTGCCTGTCTTCCTGTGAAGAAGGGAGAGTCAGAAGTGGAGGAGGCAAGGCCCTCCTCAGCCTAGCGCCGCTCTGGGTAAACACAGAGTCGGGTTTCAGTGCTGCTCTCTGGTTGCACCAGGTGGATCCCATCCAGACTCCTGCTAAGACACTTCCACCTCCCAAGACTGCAGTCGGGCAGCACAGTGATGCGTAAGAGTTCTTTGGCAACCGGTGTCACTCTTACTCCTGCTTGAATGGCAGCTGCTGATGCTGCTTCATAGCTCTCTGGGCCTAAGGAACCTTCCGTGTGGAGTCTGCATGTTCTCCCAGATCTGTGATTGTATACAATAGAGCTTTTCTTCAATGAGTTTATGTTGTAGTGTAGGTATACAGTAATCTGTGTTAGTTAGGGAATGAAAGTGCTTGCTTCTGCCTGGGCTCATCACTTTTCATCCATGAGGGAGCCAGAGTACAGCATAGGAACATCATGGTTACAGCAAGGTAATGAATAACTGTATAACTGAATAACTTGTATAACTGAGGGAAACCAGAGCAAAATAAAATAAAAACAGGGAGTAAGGTATGAACACAGCCAACACCCTACAGATGCGACCCTGGGAAAGCTTCATAGCTGAACATAATAATTGCAGATTCCTAATTGATCCAAACTGGGTAATAGGTTTGAGAAACAGTAAATAGCTTTCCTCAAGTGACAACGCACTATCAATGACAGCACCAGCAGGCAGGGCTAAGATTTGTCAGGCAGGCCTCTGTCTCAGAGACACAGCAACCCTTGAGATTTCCCCAAGGGCCTGTGGTGATGTCACACCGCTCCTCCAATCAGAGCTAGCTCTCCTGTACGTCACTGTGGAGCTCGTAGCGCGTCAACACACACATGCAGCTCTGATGGAAGGCTGGATCAGGGGAGGCCCTCCCCTTGCACTGCAAGGAGTCCCAGCAAAACTGATTCCCAATCTGGACCAATACTAAAACAGGAAAAAAAAAAATCCGCTGGCAGTTGTACCCAGAGGATGTTGCTGGCTGCACACAGGACTGGGAACAGAAATCTCACCTGCCACGCTGAATATTCTGGTGGCAGTCTGATGCTTCAGCTCCCCCAACACGCTCTTTCTTTTCGCAGTGCAGTAAACATGAACTATGAAGCAGACTGCTGACGTGTCTCCCTCGCACTGGGAGGACCGGGAGGGTGGGAGCAAGGGGATTGTGCCATGTGATGCCAGGACCACTGAGCCTCGCTCAAGAGGCCCCTTTCTCTCTCTCCGAGCCTCCGAGCAGCGCAGCCGCACAGCGAGTTCCCACCTAAAACCTAACAAGTCATCACACATTTCCCACCCTCCTGCCTCCTGCCACGAAATTGGCTCATTTTTACCGTGCAGGCCCGTAAATGCATTCCTGTCTGCCCGACACTGACAGAAGCCATTATCCAACCTTAATAGTCCCATTATTAACCTTGTCTGCTTTTATATCCATTCAGAGAATATTCAGAGTTTTTCCTATGTACAGTACAGTATGGATCCTACTGTTCACTAACGAGAGATCCCAAAGGCAGAACTCACCTCCTTGGACTGATAGAAAGACACAAAGCAAACACACCAGAAAACTATAGCAACTCAGTAGTGTGTTGCAACATTCCGTTTGCCCAGATCTCACATCAAAAGAATGTCAGAAATGTTTTTTGCTTGAACTCCTTATCTAGGCTAATGTTTTACAAGGTTACAGGAGGATCAGGCCATGGAGAGCTTTTTTTTTTTTAACCCAACCCACCCAGCTCCAATTAACCACATTCCAGATGCTGGGAAGTTCATTGGGAAGCAATGTATCTACAGTACTTGGCATGTGGAAACTACAGGCATTTTCCATAATCCTGAGACTCTGAGTCATTCCACTGTTCTCCAGTCTATCACAATGCTATATTGTGCTTTGTTCCTAAAGAAAACAGGAACACCCAGAAGTATTACATATAAAAAACAAATCTTGGCTCCGAGCTATGCCATTATTGTGATACTAACAAAGGTAACATTTCTCTACAGAAAACCATCTGCTTCCTCTTTCAAAACAAGCATGCAAAAATAG